TGTAATACAAGGTTCAATGAGTGTTAAATTTAAGGATGCTTCTGTTAGTGTGTTTTGGTATTAAACAAATTTAAAGTCTTTGAGTGAATGATTTTTTGTAATGAAAAGGGTTGTATTTATTATACAAATATGGGTGTTTGACGTTTGTACTCTAGGGAATGTAATACATAAAGTATAGACATACAAAATGCTGAATTGTTTCTCTGGACAAATTCTTAATTTCCCCATAGGAAATAATATCTTATAAAGTTTCTCGTTCAATCCCTTTTCTTGTTGTCGGCTCTTTCTGTTACAGTGCTAATCTCTTCTAATGGATTCGAGTTGATCTCTATAATGATACTTTTTACTTCTAAGCAGTTTTCAGAGACTTGGAGTGCTGATATTTATTGATATAAATGTGCTACATGGCAGGTTCTGCTATGTATGCATATATTACTTTACTACATATGAACAGTTTCTTTTCATTATATTTTTTATTTTTTATGTTGAGCACACATAAATGGGGAGAGATCTATTTAATAAATTGTATATTACTCACATGAATTAATTCAAGGTTTGATGTCTGCCTGCACCAATCATATACAGTAAATGGCAGCTTATAATATAATAATAATAATAATAATAATAATAATAACAACAACAACAACAACAACAACAACAACAACAATAATAATAATAATAATAATAATTTAAAGACAAATAGGAAGTAATTTGTGAGATAAGAAACTATATTTGCTTAGCATAATTCCTCTGTTATTTGAATACAGATTGTTGGAAATACTTCCGTGGCATACAAAGGCTCTGTAATCCTTATAATAACGATCTCCAGTCCTGTTCAGCCCACACTGAGCCTTACAAGTAGTACAGATCTGTTCACGCACCTCTTTGCCAATCTAATAGAGTTGCCTTGTGTAACTGCACAAATATGGGAATTGTATCTTCCACATTCAGTTTGTAAATCCATCTACACATATACTGTAACGTCTGTTAATTCTACTTATTAACTCATAATGCTTTACAGTAAAAAAGGGTTTACAACTGTAGATTCTATTGTTGTGGAGAGTACTGTACTTTCCCAGTAATTTGCTTCAACAACCGAAAAACATAGGTGAAGAAAGTTTATAGATAAGGGGAGGACATTTTGCCTAATTTAGCCATGGCATCATCTTTCACTGCATGAACTAAACTATACAGTATTGTAGCTTGTTCCTCGCTCCCTCACTCCTTGTGTAATGAAGAATTCGTGTTCTTGGTTGTACTTGTACTTCCACTTGTATTTGACTTGTGTCTTTTGGTTCTGTTATATTCCACTGTTGATTTTGAAGAAGGTTGTGAGGTCAGCTTTGCCAGTGCTTTTGAGAATTTTGAATACTGGAATCTGGACCCCTTCCAACTGTGATAGTCTACTCTGTGAAGCGCTAAAATGATTAAATCCTTTTTTGCTGTAAGAACATCTCTTTCCTTTGAGCATAGGAATGCAATATATCCTGTCACTCTTCTCTGGTATGTTACTGTATATGTTTATTCAAGTGGTAATCAAAATTGTACACATTATTGTAAATTAGATCTTACTAGTGATTTTACTGTTAGAAGTGTACAGTTCTAACACAACACTGCTTTAGAGTCTTCAATATGAACGATATATCATAACATTCAATTTGCCTTTTTAAAACACTTCCCCAGATCTAGAAAATTAAATACAGTATGTTAATTTTCCTTAGCAATTTCTTCATGATATTTTTGTTTTTTTATTACCTGCATATAAAAATCTTCACTTGTCTACATTACATGTTATCTACCACGTTTGCCCAGTCTTGGAATTTTTGTTTTTACACAAGCTTTATTTCGCAACTTCTAAAATGTTTGATCATCCAGCTACTTTAGTACCATCTGTGAACTTCACTAGTTTACTAAATATAGGATCTAGATCATTGATCATTGACATCATTGACAAGCACATTGGTCCTAATACAGATCCTTGTGGTACTCAGATCTACACCGTTTAAGAAATTGCCCCTCATCTGTATTCTTTTATTTCTTTTCAGTATCCTCTTTTCAAATCAAAATGTATTAAATGTATCACCTTAAATGCGTACTGCAATTGTGCAACGCATGCAGTTTGATAATCAGTCTTTTATGAACTTGATCCATTCCCTTTAGAAAATCTAAATTCACCATATGGTAAGATCTTGTGTACTGGTATATCCTGTTACTATTGTTGCTTGTTCAAAGAACTACATTTTCTAAATCTATTTTGAGATGTTGAATCTAGTTAAGTTGTAGTTAACATTTTCAAAATACTACAAGTAATGGAAGTAAGACAAATTGATCTACAAATATTTTATTCAGTGTTTTTACCTCTTTTGAAACTGGGTGCTACATTTAACACATAATGTATATATTAACCCTGTCTCAGGTACCTGTTGGGAGAGTCTTGTTAATTGTAAAATCTCTTATTTCTTTGAGTGCAGTGAGTACCATCAGGCCCTATAGATTACAATAACACTTCTGCTCTTCCATAAAAATAATATTTGGTGTAAAACTGTACCTTTCTTCAGCCTGAAGTATCATATTGATTTCTTCTTTAAATTGAATTATAATAGATTATACCTTTCTGTTTTTTTATCTATACGGTAGGTCTTTTACTGTTCTTTTGCTGTTGCACTACTTAAAAAACAAACTTTTTTTTAATTTAGCTTCCAATGTTATTTTCTATATGACCTTTTATAACACATGTTTTTCCTAAAACAAGGGTGCTATTTGAATACCTGAAATGTTAACTGACTATTCTCCACTTTTTTTTACTGGATGTCTGAAATATAGCAGGACAGGACAATGTTGAAAGAATGTAACCATGGATCCAAAAAATTTTTAAAATCTAAAAATCATGTACACATAATTACCCTGAATAAAAAGGGGCTTCTTGAATATGTGACATTTCTTTGATATGGACAGAATGAATGTGGATTTGTAATGAGCAGCAGCCAGAGTGCTACTTAGTAAATGATTAGCCTTCATCTTCTGAATAATTACTTTGAATTCTTTCGCAGTGTTTCCTTTCAGTCACTTTTATTTGCACAGCTACAATTATTTCTTTATATATTTTTGGATCAATTTGTACAAAACTTTAATCTCTCTTGTAATTATTCCAATACAATATCCTTTTTTGTTATGGAGATGGGTATATGAACATCACATTTTATTTTCTTTTTTGGCGACCTTGAAGCTCATAAACTCCTGTGTAGTGGTTACAATACATATGAGGTGTAGCATAAAGGTTCAGAGTTGTTTTGCCAGTCTGCATTTATAAAGCCACAATATCTATTCTTTCAAGTCATGTCAGTGACCTGCTAATGGCAAATGGCAGGAGAGGGTATTATTTGTCAATATGATAAAGATCCCAAATATGCAGACTAAATGAAAATGAGTTACATTTGAGTAACAGCAGGTTTTAAATTGACGCACTCTTTTTGGTACCACTCTAACTACAGTCTAGCCTCTGTGCAATGCTATGGGATGTGAACTGTCACAAACAAGATGAAGCCACTTGGCCAATCAAGACCGTTTTGTAGTTAATATCTACAGTATTTGATCCAATGATCTCATCCAGACATTTCTTGAAAGCTGCCAAAGTATCGGCAACATTAACATGGTTGAGTAGATTGCTCTGTATACTCCCTCAAGCCTTTGAGCGCAGAAGTGCATCGTGATCTCGGCACTTCCATGTGAATCCCACTGGTGTCCTTTGTTTCAGTTATCAGTACTGATTTTAAATTAGTTCTGTCTGGGAGGTTGATATCCTGATGAGAAAAGTGGGCAGTAAAATGCTTTAATAACTTGTTTTCTATTGCACTTTTAATGACACAATTAATATGTCTTGTACTGTATCGCTTGTATATTTATATAGCTACTGTACATGCACCATGGCATATAGTATGTCTTTCTACACTACTGAAAATAGCCGTTTCAGATTTTATGAAAATGATGTTATGAGTAGAGAAATATTTTTTTTTTAATTCAAAAAGTTAATTTACAGTATGTTCTAACTTTGTAGAAGAAGGGTGAATGGGATCACACTAGTGAGATTACCTTATTATTAATTTCTACAGGCTACTTATTAAAAGAAGTAATGTGGGCAATGAAGCCAGACTATTTAGTACTTCAGGAAAGGGAGTTGAAAAGGGAGTGAAAGGGGAGTAGTACACATTCAAATGTCTTACCTGTTTTATGAGTATATTTGTATGTAATACCATCTAGAATCCTGTTTGAAAGCTACAGTATGTGACATGATAAAATCTAAGGTTTATATCAAAACAATTACAAAACTATTTCCATCATATACTGAATATACTAAGAGGCATTAAAATGCAACATATACAAGTGCTATTGGTTCCAATACTTGATTTGCAATATATAGAAAAGAACAGTAATAGTGGATCACAGATATTATTAAAATGTGAAATGGGGATCACCCATGTCCAGAACTCTATTTCTCTAGTCACTGTGTCTATGTTCATATGCATGTTAACCTCTGTATTGTGTAATTTTACATTTTACATTTTACATCTTGTATTTTAATTTGTTTTTAAGCTTTGTTCTCTTGAAGTAACTGAACGGCAAATAAACCATATCAGAAAAGAGTCTGATGTTGGCATTATAGCTAGTTCAATAGGTGACTTTTTTTTAAATGGCAAAGCTGGTTAACATGATGCCCCTTTCATGATTCTTTGTTGGAGCTATTGATTTTAATTTTGCACAGCTTTGCAACTAGACTTTGTTAAGGAGAGGAGCTACATTAACATTCATGCGTGGCATTTAAGAGAATGAATTCATAAACAAGCAGTCAACAGACTCTGATGTCAACATTTGGTAATTGAGTAGTAATGTGTGACAGGACTGGATCAAAACTGGTTAACTTTGTCATAATGTACATGCTATAATATTCAACCTTGGGAATAACTTCCTAATGATGAAACAATTCTTTTTTGATATCTCCACAGGGACTTTCTGACAACTGAAAGATGAAAGCTCCTATTCCTCTCTTGATTCTTTTGTACACTTCCATGACCAAGAGCCTGAAGGTTGTGTCCAAAAGAGGCTCAGGTAAGCTTGCCTGTGTTAGATTCTCTGTGATCTGCTGTTAAATGGGGTTTTTATTTTTTTCATTTATTGCAGCGTCATGTGCATACAGTATACTGTACTATGTGAACACCACTTGATAAATGCCATTACATTTCAGTTCATGAATGCAAGAAATCACAGAAATCATACTCCTGCCATATATTAAAATGCCAGATACTTAGAAATGTGAGTTTTAGACATTTAATTAGCTTTATTTAGCTTCAAATGGCTATATAAAATGCATAAATGGTACCATGGTGAGACATATATACACAACAGTACATACTAGAGTGTACAAATGAAGTAAACATACAGTACAGTATATCTACAACACCACATATACATATACTGTATATTTCTTTTTCTTATCAGCATTATTTTTGTTTGTGTTATTAGCTTTCTATTCACTTCCATTAGTACAACACATTATAAGTTACACTTATCTTCTCAAATAATTGTTCTTTTTGTTTTTGAATAATTAATCGGTATTAAATGGTACTAAATTCTATATATCATATATATATATTAATATATTTCAATAAGTTCAAAAACAATTGTAAATGTAACTTTGTCTTTAATGTTTGTTTTGGCAAAATCTGAAAAATATTAGTTTTTGAGATTCTTAAAAAATAGGTTACAAACACAAATTCATAAACATACATAATGCATAATGGATATGAATTAAAATATGTATTATTTCTTAATAATGATATTTTAAAATTAACAGGTGATCAGGGAAAACTAAACTTAACAGTGCATTTACAAGCAAAACGGAGATCTGATATCTCTGTCAAAATACATTTACTTTACCTGAGTTACAGTAGTCCTCAAGACAGACAGCAGTCAGGGATCCAGGCAGGAGCAGTTCATCCTCTCTGGTATTTAGAAGAACGAACAGCTCCAACATGTACTGTAAGTGTTTCTCTGAATGCCAGGTCAGTGACAGCTGTTACAGCATGATTTGTAGTTTTGTGTTCATGAATCCATATAAAGGGAACAGTTACCGTAGAATGTGTGAGAGAGTTCAAACTTAAAAACTAGAAACACATAATAATAATGATAATATGTTTTCTTAAAGTCCAATATCTTACTACACATGAATGCCTTCAGTCATATACAGTTACTGAACAGAAGCTGAGGGGGTGGAACTTGTTCACATTAGGCTACGCACACTTTGATGGCTTCAGATGCATAACTAAAAGTGAGATTGGCCTCCAGTCATTGACAGGGTCAGATGGCAACATGTATAGTTTATTTAACTATTTAACTATAATTTCTTGCAAAAATATGACTTAACTCTTTCACACTAGTGCCTATATACAACTATTTTATACGGTTAGAAGGAAATGCAAAGACGTTGGCTTAAATATAATTAATTTAATAGTGTAAATAGTCAAGACTAGGATGGCAATATTGCTGCAAAATGTTCAAAAGTAAAGAGATTCAACATGCTTTGACTTTTATTGTTACCTATATATTTTTCTAATTTTTATTTAGGTTTTATTTAGTATTTGTATCATTATATAACTCAATGGAACGTTGTTGTTTTTTTCACTTTCTTGCACCTTGCTTAATACTAAAGACATTTGAAATAAAAAGCTTAGTGTATGTATGTGCTTTTACTTGCAGGATAAAATGTGTAGAACTATTTATTATTTAGAGTACAAGGTGGTGGTGGCATTTATTAAATAAACCATTGTCCACATTTGACATTGACAGATTGCACAGGAGGACCTAGAAGCATAGCTTTGCTTTCAGTTGCATATTCACAGCTTTCTTCATTATTTGAGATGTGGCCTTACAACAGAGCAGAAAAATGTGTTGTAGAATCATTTTCTATACTGTGGTAGGGATGAAAGTGTATCCTGCCACACTGCTATGAACAGTGAAACAACTATTGATCTTTCAGCTCTGTGGACAGTAACTATTCCAGCTACTGTCGAATTCATTTCTAATTAGCAGGCTGGTTTATCCAGTCTTCTGTTTGAATTCAGAGACTGTGTTACTGAGAAGTGTTGTTTCTTTGAATTCACAGAAAGAGAGCAGCAGCAATAGCTGCATTTGATTAATGCAACATTTAAGAAGTACTCATTAGAAAAGCATTTGTTTTGAAAAGGGTTTCTACTGAAACTGTTTCCTGCCATGAGCACTATTCTGTGTGATAAGGGACATAAAAGGTTGGATACCGGTTAGCTTTTTTTCTATTTAGGTCTCAGGTTGCTAGGAACAAAAAGAAGCCGATTACTTGACCTACATTTGACATGCTAATTATGCTGATAAAGAGAAAATGTTACTTTCTCATAAATTTATTTTTTTTAAGTTTACGTTCAAGTTATTTTATACAATGTAAAGTGAATACATTCTGGATTTTTTCTTAGACAGAGAGATGCTTTGTAATAAACATGTTTGTAACCATGATAGATTTCTATCTAGATAGTGATAGATTACCAAATGGAAATCTGTTATCATTTTAATTATATGTTGTTTATGAAAAAAATTAATGCTTCCATCATGTAGCTATAAATATTGTATATTTATTCAATTTTGTTTCATTTAACATGTTAAGCCTGTACAAACCTATAACATTAATGGTAAAATGGACACAAAGAAATTGACCTATTTTAAAATCACACTGAAAACGAGATGACAGCAAAACATTTGTTTCAGATGTTTTCCAAAAATTATAATTAATTTCATAGTACTTTTCTGTAGCATAGAGTACTGTGGTATCACAGGCAATAGACCATATGGTCATTTTTCTTACCAGGGCAGATGAATTTACCTGGCTACCATTAGCAGCACTAATCTGAAACAGTGGGGTTTCACTGTAACATATTGGAAGTTGTGTATGTGTGCTGAAAATAACCATCAGTTCCTGTTGCTTCTGACTAAGAATCCTTACAAACTGTAATGGACATGCAGTGTAGCCAACAGGTTTGATCTCTAGAAGAGCAAGCTGTCTGAATCCACACAATGTTATCATTAGTTATAGCTGTGGGAATACCTTATTTGTGACTGTTCATGAGCAGCAGGGTTATTGCGAGTCTTTATTTAATCATTCATCTTTATATTGTTGGCACATTTAAATAAAGGAAAATTTGCTCTGTGCCCTGTTTAATTTTGTGTTGATATACAATAATTAATAACAATCAGCACAAAAAAGTAATTAATGACACTTCTATTTTCAGTTATTTTTCAAAGAATTAACTAAATCTTATCTGCTACTCCCCCATTTAAATCACACATCTTTGTTTAATGATCAGTGCTTTTATAATCTTTGAGTGCATAAACATTCAAAAATTGAAAATGGTCAGTAGAAACGTTATTAACAATCCTGTGGGCTTATGAACAATGCCTATGAACTTGACAGGCTTCTTTTTTTTTTTTCTGGGAGACATGCGGAAAGTTACCTGCAATAAATGAAATCCCATTGGTGGATGGATGACATCCCATCTGTGTTCTTATCCTTTTAAACTTGTTTGCAGAAGTGTCTACAGTATATCATTAGAACTGCTTAAAATGTTGGTGGGTCTGGAAACCACAATTTAACAGTGCTTTTAATCAGGTGTATTCAACTGCAACAGGAATGGGATGCTCAGTGATCATTTCTTTAAAACTGTTCAATGAATCAAATTACCTCAAGAGCTTATTCCTGCGCTCTTTATTATTCTAACAGCCAACAAAAGAAGAAACATGTACATTCCGCTACAGCTTGTTGCAGCCTATTTTGTACCTTCCTCCCAAAGGTTTTGCAGGTTTTCCATGCAGAGATACAGCAGAAGTAAGTGGTGGTTAGTCAGTGATAGAAAAATGTTACTTTGTATTCCTATAATACTGTAATCAAGTGGGGTTTTTTTTTCCTGTGCATTGGCTATCACTATTTTATGAATAAAATAAAACAAATCCACAAATGTGCCAGCTGAAGATGAATCACCTTTCTAGTGTTAGATCCATTTTAAATGTGATAACTGAAATTAAACTAGCAGAAAGGTTATCAATTACAGATGAACTCAATACCTTTGTAGATGTGATACTGTGACAGTGAAAATCATGCAGACTTCCTTCGGGTTTTATGGCTGTGTACAAGCACCATGTCTATTTTATATAGTGTGCTATTGAGGCAAGCGTCATCTCAAAACTCTTTACGGTATGATGATATTTATAACATCGCTAGAAAAATGTAATTTGGTTGATATCAGATTTCTGTATCAATTTTTCAATTTACCCGCTGCATTATTTTTTTTCAAATGTTGTCTCCCCCAACAAAGTGACACATGATTTAGAGTCCTATTGCTGGTGTTAAAGTGTGTGAACTCAGCTCACTAGCTTACTGTATATTTTCTGTTCTGCACAATAATGTAATCTACAGTATCTCCACTTTGCTACTCATCACACATATTTTCCCATATAAGTAGAATATTATCATTCAAGCTTTGTCATTGTAAGTTGCTCCTAGTGCCATGTCCCCATATTGACTCTTTGAGTATAACACAATACTTTCTCACTTTCTCTCCCACTAATGATGAACATTTGCATATATGGTCTGTGATTATTTCCCCCCTCATACAGTGTAATAAATATGCAAGATTATTCTGTGCTGTCTTCCTAGCACTAGACTGATTTGCATGATGCCATCCACTACTGTACTGTAAATGAGATTTAGTATACACAGATGTTCGTAAAACATAATTCTTAAACCACACTGCACCAAAATCTATCGAATACATAAAGGAATTTATTCTCCAGTGTTTTGTATGTTTCTGCAGCATTTTGTAAAATTTATAGGTAACCAACTTAATGAGTATTATGTTCTCTTGGACATTAACTTTTAGGATGAACAACTTTTTTGTTCATGCTTGTGCTTTACAGACTGTGAGTGCTGTATGATAAGGAACTAAGCATTTGACTTTTTCATGATCAATTTACACTGCAATCAGTTTGGTAGTCTAAGCAAAGGGTGAAATACGAAATGCACTGAATAG